CCGGGGAAGGACAGCCTGCAAAGCTTGGAAAGGAATCAGCTCAGCTAGAAGGCCTGAAAGTAGTTCTATCCACAGCTGCAGGACAAGGACAGTGTGACTACCTCTACACCCCCAGGGCCTAGAAGGGAGACAAGTTATGGCAAGTCTTCAGGGGACAGTTCATAGCTTACCCAATCCCATGTCCTGGGATCAGGCAGGCTGGTATTCTGTGCACCAAGGGGATCAAGAGCTCCTACCCATTGTCACGTAGCTAGAAATCCACTCAGGGGACATCAAGCTCCTAGAAAGGGATTACTTTACTAAGGACTGTAATGGTTCCAGATGGAACACAGTTAAGTGTCTGTCAGTTTATTTTTTCTAAGTGTGCCAGAGCAGGAAAGTCCTCATTATTCTGTTTCTTGAATTAAATTGGGCTTCCTATAACCCCTTTACCCTATCCAAATAGTTCACCCATAATAAAACAAAAAAAAAACCCAAGTCCATGGACTGTTTACTGTCTGTGGATTCAAGTATGGAAAATGCGTGTTGCCTGGCTGTGCAGAGCTTAAGGGGGACCCAAAAATGCAGCGGCCTTCAAGAGGGTAGTGCTACAAACACAAATAGCACTGCACATTTTTTGGTTATTTTTTTCTATTAAGAATGTGAAACACTTTTGTGAAACAGTCTTTTTTGTATTTTTTTTACATAGCCTAATAAGTATGTACACATAACCAGATCGTAATTGCAACATATAATGTGATAATCAGGGTTTTCTATTTTTAACCAACATCTTAATGAATGTGACCAGTGAGAATCCCCATTTCTGTCCTGTAAACAGTTCTAATCTCTGCAACAAAGATTCCAAGAATAGAACATATTTTGGCACCTCTGCACACATTAACATTTTGAAGCTTGCACTGTTTGCTGACAGATATGCTTGATCTCTCAATGGTCAATCAATAAGCTGTTGCTGAAGTCATTTTTACATTTCTTCTTTTAATGTAGGAACTTTCTCAGGTAAAACCCAGTCCAAACTCCCCACCATGTTCTACTGTATACACCATCTGGTGCCTAAACTTTCCCTACACCAATGTGACAGTAGAAGGCACTGAGCACTGCATTGTAGGAAGTCAGTAGGTGTGTTACATGTTTTCAAAAACCCCCTCCTAATTTTCTAGGCACTCTCCCGGGCTTAAATTGGTTGTAAACCTCAGACATGAAACATGAACAAAGCACATCCTTCTATACTGTGTACTTGTCTCTATCAAAAGCACTGAGTGTGATTTCTCTCTGCTACCTCCATCTTCTGTTATCTGCATAAGTCACTTCTGACAGTTTTACCCTGCTCCAAGAGATAATTGGTGACAGGGGAGGAGAGTTCCAGCATTAGCATGCGGCCTGTGATTGGCAGCCATAAATGTGCATGTTCTGGTACACTGGGTGTGTGTGTGTGTGTGGGGGGGGGGGGGGTGGGTCCCTCCAATCAGGCTCAAAGTTCCCCTCATTGAGCTGTGCAGTGTGAGACTTCAGATCCTGCTCTATATTTTTCGGAACTGAGAGATGCTGTGTAAAACGTGTGTTTTGGAGGCTATAGAGAAGAGATGCTACAGGTAAACAGATACAACTTAGGAGGATTTGTTTAATCGTTGTGTATGAGGCCAGTCAATTCAGTAGCTATATATAAGGGTTTTCAACCACTTTAAGGGTAAGATTACATTTTGGAGATTACCTAGAAAGGGACATGAGGGCAGTTTGTTAAGGTTCCATTATGACTAGAGAAATTTGTTGTGATATTTGGCATGTGTTATACTAAATGTAATTTACCATAACCACTCGGCTTTCCAATCTGCTAGCGCATCTTCTAGCCTCAGCTCAGGTCAGACAACGACACTAGCCTGGGGCATGGACAAACTTTGGCATCCTATAGCACAGCATATATTAATGCCCTGGAGCAATGATGGGCCAATAGGAATCCAACAGTTATTAGTAGCTCAGGAAATCTTAGGATACGACAGTACAGTTACTTTATATAAGCCTTTGTGTGGATATGTATATTTTTTCACTGCACCACGTCTGAGAATTTGCTAAATTGCCCATTATGAAACATTTTCACAATATAGGCTACATGAGAACTGCAAGAAACATAAGCAAAGGAAAAATGTATCTCTATGTTTCTGCTCTTTGGATTGCCCATTGGAATAAAGTAAAGTTCCATACATATTCTATTCCATGTTTTAACCTGTACCAGAAAAAAATGACTTTTATCTGTATAATAATTACTCTAACATTTTACTTTTACTGGTTCTGCACAGCAAACAGTTCTACAGCAGAGTGCACCCTCCAAGTCCTCATCAAGAAGGTACCCTCTTCTGGGAATTTCAGTATGTACTCACTGCTACAGCTCATAATCAGAAACAAAACAGTAGCTGCACTTAGCCTGATACTATACACAGTATCTTTATTTGTCTGAAATTTGCATTTAAATACCTAGGTACAAAACTACAACCAACTGGGAGAGAGGGGCACAGGGGGTGCAGAGAATAAAACTGTTTCTAGGCTCATAAGATTGAGGGGCTGAAGGACAACTGCCACTTCCCATAATTTACCAGTTGTGTAATCACATGACATGCTCTACAGCACGTCAAACACAAAGCCCGTAGGCCGAATCCGGTCCTCTCGGCCATTTCATATGGCCCTTGCACCTCTCCTGCAGCTGAGGCACCCCCTCATCTCCACTCTCATCTTGTCTCAGCAATCAGCAGCAGGGAGGAGGACAAAACTCCTACTACAGATCCTGCACCTCTCTGTGCAGCTGTAGCACCCCCTTGTCTCCGCCTCCCCTGGTCTCAGCATTCAGCTGACTCCAGCCCTCCTCTGGTCCTCCTCCAGACCCTGCACTTTCTGCTTTCCAACTTCACCCCCCACTTCTTCCCAGCAGCAGCACAAGGTAAGGGGGGGTGTCAGGAATGGACTGGCCAGCAATGGTGGGACTCACCTGCCTTTTGATCTGCAGTACCAGGGCTGGCCAGCGGGTGCTCCCAGCAATCAGAGACTCAACCTTTCAGCCAGCTAACACCTGGAACTGATGATACTGGTGTATTTAAGGGATGGCCAGACTTGCAGACTCTGCCTTGGTGTTGTGTTTGTCCTGGGCCCTGTATCTGTCCTGCATCCTGTTTCTGTTCCTTTGCTACCTGTTCTGATCCCTGGCTTGTGACCCTGACCATCCCTCTGCCTGACCCTCTGTACTACGCTGCTTGCTACCTGTTCTGATCCCTGGCTTGTGACCCTGACCATCCCTCTGCCTGACCCTCTGTACTACGCTGCTTGCTACCTGCTGAACCTGGCCTGTGACCCCGACCATTCTCCGCTTGCTCCCCCTGTACCTACCTGCCCAATTGATATTGACTCGGCCTGCCTGACGACGCTTGCTTGTATGTACTGTTATCTGTGGGTGGTTGGTTGGGTTTGTTTGCACTGTATTATGTTTAGTATTGCACTGCGTTTATGTTTGTATTGTTAGTGTTAATAAATTACATTGTTAATCACATATCTGAGGTCTGCATTTCCCTGCTTCAGTCACACACCTCTGGTCATACCTGGGAGCCCTGACATTACACCAAGGCCAATCCTGACCAGAAGTGGCTGCACAGGGAAGCCATCTTGGCTTGTTGATGGGAAGGATGGATCTGGATGAGGTTGCGTATTTATATCTGCTAGTGTTTGATGACAGGGAGTATGCTTATCAAACTCTGAAGGAGTATCCCCGGGATGAACTGCTAGAATGTATACGGCTCGCTCATGTTCTAGTAGATCAGGGCACAGAGTTCTCTGAGGTGCAGCCATTGATTGAGGTTTGTGCTGAGTTGGTTTCATCTGGTTCCCCCGAATGCAGGGATGAATTTTTGCCACCATTTAGTGCAGACCAGGTAGAGTCCCTGGTGTGGTTATTAGAGGATGATGTGGGTTACTTTCTGGAGCGTTATTCCACATGTTCACCACAGACACTAAGAGATTGTATAAACGCAGTGCAGTCATTGACCAGACAGGCTTTGTGTAAGCTCAGCTTTGTTCAACCCATACTGCAGACATGGACAGACTTGTTGCACCCAGCCTCAGTCAGCTTACAAAGACCCAGTCCTGCTTCTAACACTACTCCTGTATTCCCATCAGCTCCTCCAGTTACAGCCCAGTATACTTGGCTATCTACCGCATGTCAGTCCCCTGTTCCCACTCGCTGCACCTATCCTGCCTTTAACCCTGTAAAAAAGCCCTCTGTAGCAACTGCTCCCTCTCCTGTTCCATCCTCCAGTTCTTCTCTGTCTCCAGCTGCTCCATTTGTTTGCAGACCTGCGTTTACTTGCAGTGCTCCAGTAGTTAAAACCAGAAAAAAGCGAAAATTCTTTCCAACCAATACCATCCTGCCAGTATCCAAACCGGTGAGCCTGCCTTCCGTGGTTCAGCCTGAAGCCTCTACTCAGCCTGAAGCCTCTACTCGGCCTGAAGCCTCTACTCGGCCTGATGCCTGTACTCGGCCTGATGCCTGTACTCGGCCTGATGCCTGTACTCGGCCTGAAGCCTCTACTCGGCCTGAAGCCTCTACTCAGCCGGATGCCTGTACTCGGCCTGATGCCTCCCTTCAGCCTGATGCCTGTATGCAGCCTGATGCCTCTCTTCAGCCTGATGCCTCTACTCGGCCTGATGCCTCTACTCGGCCTGAAGCCTCTACTCGGCCTGATGCCTCTACTCGGCCTGATGCCTCTACTCGGCCTGAAGCCTCTACTCGGCCTGATGCCTCTACTCGGCCTGAAGCCTCTACTCGGCCTGAAGCCCTCTACTCGGCCTGATGCCTCTACTCGGCCTGAAGCCTCTACTCGGCCTGAAGCCTCTACTCGGCCTGATGCCTCTACTCGGCCTGAAGCCTCTACTCGGCCTGAAGCCTCTACTCAGCCGGACGCCGGCATTCAGCCTGATGCCTCTACCCAGCATGATGAACTGATCCAGCCTGACGATCCTATTAGGCCAGTTGACTCGATGCCCGCTGTTGATCCAGATGATCCGGTACCTGATCCGGTGCCCGCTGTCGTGCCAATTGACTCAGAGCCCGCTGTCGTACCTGGTGACTCGGTGCCCACTGCCTTGCCAGATGACGCGGTGCCCGCTGGCGAGCCAAATGACCTGATGCCTGGTGACCAGTGCCCGCTGTCATACCTGGTGACCCAATGCCCGCTGTCGAGCCAGACGATCCAATGCCTGGTGACCCGGTGCCCACTGCCTTGCCAGATGACGCGGTGCCCGCTGGCAAGCCAAATGACCTGATGCCTGGTGACCCAGTGCCCGCTGTCATACCTGTGACCCGATGCCTGCTGTCGAGCCAGACAATCCGGTACCTGATGACCCGGTGCCCACTGTCGTGCCTGTTGACTCGGAGCCCACTGCCTTGCCAGATGACGCGGTGCCCGCTGTCGAGCCAAATGACCTGATGCCTGGTGACCGATGCCCGCTGTCCAGCCAGACGATTCAATGTCTGCCCCAGTGCCCCGTCGGTCATGCCAGTTGACTCGGAACCCACTGCCTTGCCAGATGACGCGGTGCTCGCTGTCAAGCCAAATGACTTGATGCCTGGTGACCCGATGCCCGCTGTCCAGTCAGACGATCCAATGTCTGACCCAGTGCCCGCGGTCATACCAGTTGACTCGGAGCCCACTGCCTTGCCAGATGATGCGGTGCCCGCGGTCGAGCCAAATGACCTGATGCCTGGTGACCCGATGCCCGCTGTCCGGTCAGACGATCCAATGTCTGACCCAGTGCCCGCGGTCATACCAGTTGACTCGGAGCCCACTGCCTTGCCAGATGACACGGTGCCCACTGTCGAGCCAAATGACCCGATGCCCGCTGTCCAGCCAGACGATCCAATGTCTGACCTAGTGCCAGCGGTCATGCCAGTTGACTCGGAGCCCACTGTCGTGCCTGGTGACTCGGTGCCCGCTGCTCCGCCTGGGGGCCCGAGACCTGTCGCTCCGCCTGGGGGTCCAGCGCCCGCCGCTCCACCTGGGGGTCCGGCGCCCGCCGCCCCGCCTGGGGGCCCGAGACCTGTCGCTCCGCCTGAGGGCCCGAGACCTGTCGCACCGCCTGGGGGTCCGGCGCCCGCCGCTCCGCCTGAGGGCCCGAGACCTGTCGCTCCACCTGGGGGTCCGGCGCCCGCCGCTCCGCCTGAGGGCCCGAGACCTGTCGCTCCACCTGGGGGTCCGGCGCCCGCCGCTCTGCCTGAGGGCCCGAGACCTGTCGCTCCACCTGGGGGTCCGGCGCCCGCCGCTCCGCCTGACGGCCCGAGACCTGTCGCTCCGCCTGGGGGTCCGGCGCGGCGCCCGCCGCTCCGCCTGAGGGCCCGAGACCTGTCGCTCCGCCTGGGGGCCCGAGACCTGTCGCTCCACCTGGGGGTCCGGCGCCCGCGCGCTCCGCCTGAGGGCCCGAGACCTGTCGCTCCACACCGGGGGTCCGGCGCCCGCCGCTCCGCCTGAGGGCCCGAGGCCTGTAGTTCCGCCTGGGGGTCCGGCGCCTGCCGCTCCGCCTGGGGGCCCGATGCCTGTCGCCCCGCCTGGGGGTCCGATGCCTGTCGCCCCGCCTGGGGGCCCGAGGCCTGTCGCTCCATCTGGGGGTCCGGCACCCGCCGCTCTGCCTGAGGGCCCGAGACCTGTAGTTCCGCCTGGGGGTCCGATGCCTGTCGCCCCGCCCGGGGGCCCGATGCCTGTCGCCCCGCCCGGGGGCCCGAGGCCTGTCGCCCCGCCCGGGGGCCCGAGGCCTGACGCCCCGCCCTGGGGGCCCGGTGCCTGCCGCTCCGCCCGGGGGGCCCGGTGCCTGCCGCTCCGCCCGGTGGCCCGCTGCCTGCCGCTTCGCCTGGTAGCCCGATGTGCCTCTGCCCGGGGTCCTGCCCGATGTGCCTCTGCCCGGAGTCCTGCCCGATGTGCCTCTGCCCGGAGTCCTGCCCGATGTGCCTCTGCCCGGAGTCCAGCCCGATGTGCCTCTGCCCGGTGTGCCTCTGCCCGGAGTCCAGCCCGATGTGCCTCTGCCCGGAGTCCAGCCCGATGTGCCTCTGCCCGGAGTCCAGCCCGATGTGCCTCTGCCCGGAGTCCAGCCCGATGTGCCTCTGCCCGGAGTCCAGCCCGATGTGCCTCTGCCCGGAGTCCAGCCCGATGTGCCTCTGCCCGGAGTCCAGCCCGATGTGCCTCTGCCCAGTGTGGCTCTGCCCGGTGTGCCTCTGCCCGGAGTCCAGCCCGATGTGCCTCTGCCCGGTGTACCGCTGCCCGGAGTCCTGCCCGGTGTGCCAGTCTTTGATATCCCGCCAGTTACCAGACCCGGGCGGTGGGTGGAACATTTTTCCCAGCTAGGACTGTTTGGAGCGTCCTGAGGCCGCTCCTTGAGGGGGGGGTACTGTCAGGAATGGACTGGCCAGCAATGGGTGGGACTCACCTGCCTTTTGATCTGCAGTACCAGGGCTGGCCAGCGGGTGCTCCCAGCAATCAGAGACTCAACCTTTCAGCCAGCTAACACCTGGAACAGATGATACTGGTGTATTTAAGGGATGGCCAGACTTGCAGACTCTGCCTTGGTGTGTTGTGTTTGTCCTGGGCCCTGTATCTGTCCTGCATCCTGTTTCTGTTCCTTTGCTACCTGTTCTGATCCCTGGCTTGTGACCCTGACCATCCCTCTGCCTGACCCTCTGTACTACGCTGCTTGCTACCTGTTCTGATCCCTGGCTTGTGACCCTGACCATCCCTCTGCCTGACCCTCTGTACTACGCTGCTTGCTACCTGCTGAACCTGGCCGTGACCCCGACCATTCTCCGCTTGCTCCCCCTGTACCTACCTGCCCAATTGATATTGACTCGGCCTGCCTGACGACGCTTGCTTGTATGTACTGTTATCTGTGGGTGGTTGGTTGGGTTTGTTTGCACTGTATTATGTTTAGTATTGCACTGCGTTTATGTTTGTATTGTTAGTGTTAATAAATTACATTGTTAATCACATATCTGAGGTCTGCGTTTCCCTGCTTCAGTCACACACCTCTGGTCATACCTGGGAGCCCTGACAGGGGGTTCACTGTTATGTAAGGGAGGGTGGGGGGACTCTTGACTTCTCATGGTGGGGGCAGTTGGGTCTGTCACAGGGAGGCTCTTGACATCTGATATAAGGGGGGTTAGATACAACTGGCCCTTTGAGGGCAAACATAATGCTGATGTGGCCCCAGATGAAATAGATTTTGACACCTCTGCTCTACAGAGTACAGCAGGATTCTCCTGCCTTTCATGTCCCTTTATCTTGTATTTGCTTATAGATAATAAACTGTTTGTTTTGTTTTAGCCATTCCAAGGGATTGTCAGTAGTCATTATGTGAGGAATTAACAGTGCTTTGTTATAATAATTTTAGCAACAGAACACTATTTATATTAACATGCTCCTCTGCCTGTTGCTGGAATCTCTTCTCTTGCAAATCACTACTCTCTGCGTTGGACCATAGTTCCATCCCCTGTCTCTTGTATCAATGCCAGACACAGTAGTTATGTAGGGGCTGGTGGACTGAACTACAACACCGGGCAGGGGATGCAGGCAAAGAACTGACCAAGAAGTGTATTGGATGTGAAGAGTCTTTGCATACTGTCTCCTTTTGCTCTAGACAGGGCAGAGGGTGGGGGTGCCATGCTGTTTTGTTATTTGTAACCAGAATCACTTTTTACTGGAATTTGCAGGCCTCATTGTTATGGTGATCCCTTCCTGAATGCAGTTCCCTTTTCTTACCACTAGCTGGAAATTTTTCAGACTTAAAATTTCTGATTTGTTTACGCCTGGACTGGAGCACTGAATGTTGGGAGATGTAGTTTGGGCCAAGAGAGATGCCAATATCAATGCAGGCAAAAGTAACTACAAGACCAAGGGTGCCTGGGAGGAAGAAGGGACCATATAAATAGGAAAGCCCAGGAAAAGTTTGGGACAATTGGGATTTAGCCGCCAGTGTGTGAAGAAGGTAAAGACCTGTTACAGAAAGCACAGAGCTGAGGAGACTGGTTTACATATTTAATGCTGCATCAATATCAGAAGCTGTTGGTTCCAGAGAGTAGGGAGATCAGCTGGACTGCTGGACTGAGTTAGAGACAGGGAGTTTCTGTTTGCTATGATCGTGTTCCACATGGCAGCCTATCGCTTCTGCTGCCAGAGGACCCAGGGCATCAAACCCACACTAGCTGACCACACATGATCCAATCATAATTTATTATCGCATAGCAGAAACCACCACTTGTCAGATTGTTGCAGGAAGCCGCTTTGAGAACCAACTCCACATTGAAGGCGGCCCACATCTGAGAAAACAAACCTGCATCTACAGATACAGAGAGCTTGTTTGAGTGGGTTTCTGACCAATAGTAGTGATCTCATTTGACCGTTTGCCTAATCACCTGGAGAACACTTTATATTGTCCTTTATCTCTACTGACATCTCCCGTCTGCTTATTACTGACCACTGCTAGTCCCTGTTGTAGCCAGAATATATATATTTTAATTTCTAAAAAGTTTTATAAGAATCATCAGGTAATTTAAATAGAGTGCTAATAACACTTTAGGCTGCCCCTCCCTTGCCAATGGAGCATAGCCATTGTTTTTTCAGAACTGACTTGAGTGCTGTTTTCAGGGATATTTCCACATCCCCCCCCAACAAGCACGCCAAAATCTTTCAAGGACCCCACCCAATGTATCCAGCAGAAGACTAAATTTCCTTTAAAGAAACAGATACATGCTTTTCACCTTCCTACACTATTTCTCTGTTCAAACTAAAAAAAGCCTAAGGCTTTTGCTCCCTCTTCATACCTCTCAAGTGAATATATGCAACGTAGATTGGTTGTTATCTCTTAGTTGTAAAGTGTGCCAGTCTATTGGTTTTGTGTAAAAGGCCCAATATGCTTCGATCATCATTTATGTGTAGAAGGAGCTACAATTTATTGCTGATTATATGTGTAAAAATTTGGTGTGTATAAAGAAGTTCCTAAAAAATGATAGGGGTATATTAGGTGAATATTCTGCAAAGAAATCCTCACTGTTATGATTAGGGGTGTTTTGTATGTCTGAAAATATTTATATGAGGAAATAGTTGTGACGAACGGTCCCTTAGCTGCGAGTAAACATTTTGTGACCCTTTCTGTTCTGGTTTTATGGTTCCCCTTGTTTGTAAAGTAGTGTATATGTTTCAGAGACTGTTTTGTCTTCCTCTTTACTCTAATCGCGTAATTGACCGCGTTAGGGTCGAAATGTTGAACCTTGCGAGTCATACTGTATTGTTGGCTTGTATGGATTTATGTGTGGGTTGGGGAAAAAAAGGTGCCTTAGGCTGTCTGGTGTTGGGACTGAAAGGGGGCGGGGGATCCTAACCAGGATGTGCTGTGTATATACTGAGTCTGTGTTTAATAAAGAAAGAGTCATTTCACACCCTACACGAAGTTCCG